ACACTGGCCCACACCTCGCCTGCTCTTTAAATCTCTCATGATGCTACAATGGTTACCTTTAGTAGCCATTCAAACCCATTTGTGTCAACTTCTGTGCATGTTATTGGGCCAAAATCACTTGGGTATGTGAACTTTTGATCAGGGTCATTTGGGTAGTTTCTGTTGTCATTATGATTTACAAACAGAAAAAACTGTAGTTTGACAATAAATGGTTTCACCCAACCACTAAGCATGAGTGGAAAAAAAGTTTTCGTGTTATCGGTCATATTCCTTGAAAAATTGTCAAATAATCATAGATTCTGCCAGGGTATGTAAACTTATGAGCACAACTGTATATAAAGTTGTTTTTTTTTACTTTGAGTTGTAGGAAAAGGTCAATTGGCGCTCATCTCAGCTCACAATGGCCCAATTCCAAACTCCACCCTAAGCCCTCAAGCCCTGCACCCTCATTAGCTTAGGTTAAGTCAGCTGGTAAGTGCTTGAGTGTGGGAGGGTTTAAGGGCTCCAAAAGGGTATAAAAGCAATGGAACAGCCCTTTGTGACGTGCCACGTTACCTTGACGACAGACGACAACGTTGCCGTGACAACCAAAGATGCGACTGACACTTGCCTCTCTGGGCCTCTTAATTCTGCATTTATTTCGCGGCCAGCGACGTCGCAGAAGAAAGGCCAACATTGTTCCGCTCCTTTTGCACACACTTGCTCTTGAACATAGACAACAGGTAATTGGTAAATAATGATTAGATTGATAAATTATAAAACCAGCATTAATGATAGGTTAAGTGATATTGAATGGTTAAAAGGTTGAAGCACTAGATTCTGAAAGTAATCACTGCTTTAGAGTGTTAGTTCAGTATAAAATGTATTGATTCAGATAAAAGTTTGAAGTAAAAATCAATTTTCTTTGTTATAAGAATAACGCATGCGTGTGTTTATGTGTGTGTGTATATATGTATGTATATATACACACACACACACACACACACACACACACACACACATATATATATATATATATAATCTTATATCTATGTTAATGTAGTGCATTCTTGTTCATCTTGGCATTCCAGCGCCCACCATACACGATGCGGAACATCCATGTTAGAATATTAAGGGTGCACCTAGATCCTGAATGAACTGCTTCTTCTTGAGCTTCTTCGCCATGATCTCCGTCATTTTTGGTGTCTGTAGCGGACGATGAGACGCTTGTGGCCTCTTTCCCTTTTAAATCCTGGCCCCGGCTGCGTCGGCGTCCTCCGGTAACGCCCACAACGCAATGAATTGTGGGCAATTTCATAGCCAAAGTCTCCAACGGTACGGACTTATGGAAAGGGTGCAGAAAGGGGCGTTCCCGAGCCCTCGCTGACTTACCGATTTCATTTGGAACAACCCTCAAGCCCTTACAGAGCTCACATGAGCGCGCACCTAAGTCAATGAGTCAGTGAGGGGGTGGTTTGGAATTGGGCCAATATGCTCCTCTCTTCTCAGAAAAGACACGACCCCTGACCATGGAAAGGAAGAAAACTAATAGTCCACTTTTTAGTTGCGCCCTCTAGTGGTATATATATATATATATATATATATATATATATGTGTGTGTGTGTGTGTGTATATATATAGGTGCTTCGACCAAGAACTGAGTAAAGGGTGTGAATACTTATGTATATGCAACATTTAAGTGTCTTATTTTTAATGAATTTGCAAAATGTTCTAAAAAAAGTTGTCATTATGGGGTATTTTGTGTAGAATTTTTGAGGGAAATATATGACCCAAATATATATGGGGGTTATTATGTCTTTGGGCAGGACGACTGGACTAAGATGGTGGCCGTATTGCACACACCCCAGCAGCTGATGAGGCATCTACTCTTTATCATGTCTATGCTGAGAAGCATCGGTGCTTGGCATTTTTCATCCAACCATTCATTCATCCATCTGTTCTTCCATCCATCTCTCCATCCATGTATCAATATATCTCATTCATTTACTTAAATCATTTATTACTTTACAACCTTCAGCTTAGTTCTGTACTGAAGCCCTCATTGTTCCTGAAAGTACAATCAGTGTTTCTACACGTGACCTTGGTCTCTGTAGCTTAAACTTATTGAACCGTTGAAGCTGTTTGACATGGTTTCCTCACACAATGGGACTTACTTCCTTTCTTCACTCAGTTGAACCTTTATCAGTTGTGTTTGTCTTTTGGCATTTATAGACATTTTTTTATCGAGGATGCCATGTTTTGCTTACTTAAAATAGAGTGGAAGATAACATCTATTTGTAAAGGTGGATTCCTGATTCCCTCTTTGTCTCTTTTGGGTTAATTGTCCACTGTATGTTTTACAATCTGCTCACAGCTAGGTCTAAGCAGAGGTCACACTGGGAAAAAGTCACTTGATCTTTCATGTTTGAACTAAATGTTTGTGATCATCTAGTATCCTTGTCAGCCTGTGTATTTGCCAGCACTGTTAATCAGATGGTCACAGGAGGTCCCATCAACAGATCTTCCTAAGCATACAAGACCACACAAATAATGATAGCAAACTTGTTTATTTTGAAATTATGTCCTAGATTCACGTGTTTGTGAAATCTAGTAGCCAGGGTTGAGCTATTGAGGCAGCATATTTACTGGCTTAAAATGCATCATGCATGCTCAAATGGTGAGTTATTGTCATTCTGTCCTTCTGAAGGGTAATAAATGGAGGCATTATCCAAAAAAAGTGAGTGTTTACTTTGGTATTGGAACCATTGTTCTTAATCTGAAAGATTGGGGGCCTGAATTTGTGACCATTTGGGATGCACATGCTCCCAAAATATAATCTTTGTGACCCCAACACAGGTCCAACTCCTACTTAACCAATCAAACATCAGCTAGACATTCTTAACTTTTGGCCAAATCACCACCTCTTACTCTGCTTATTATAGGCTTTAAGCTTTTATTTAACAGTATGCTGCACGCTATTCTGCTAAATTTGAAGAGCTGAGTGTGAACTTAAAGGGATCTTCCGGCATAAATTTAAGTTAGGGTCAATCACACATAACACTGAGTTAGACGCCCCCTCGAAAGATGAATGTTGCTGACCGCTTGCTTCTCTAGTTATACCAACTTTAGTAACGACCACACAATAGCAATACACATGGGTCTATGTCTCCATGCACAAACTTCAACCAAAAAGCCACTCTATAGACACAAATAATGCTCAGAACAGCACCAAACTTCATATAGGGTACATATAGGGTCCCAGCCATAGTACTAGCCATCAATTGTCTTTTTAGCTTTCCCTGATTTCTTAAGCAAAGAGACTAAACACAACTCACCCACTCTCCTCCAGCAGCCACTTATTTGTGGGGGAACCCTGACGAGTCGATCACAGAGTGCAGTGGAGTTTTGCAGCCCACGAAGAACATTTATGATTATTACTTCATGTAAACGCAATCAGTGTATCTTGTATTTGCACTGTAGATGCAGAACTTCTTCTGCCCTTGCGTCTCAGTCTGATTGCATTTCCATTTTTCAGTTTGAGCGTACCAATGCTACCAAGTGTAGAAATTAGTTTCAAGCCTCGAGGTTGGATCAGACAAAACCTGAAGGGTCGAATAAATTACTGAAGTCAAGCAATCAATTGTTAGTCAAAAGTTATGTTTACACTGATAATTTTAAGTACAACTTCCTCTCTTATTTCCTCCAGGCCTGGACCTCATGTTCTTCCAGACACGCAGCTCCAAAACAAACTGTTTGAAAAAAAGAAAAGAAAAGACTTTGCCTCAGCCAGTTCTCTGTGTTCCTTCACTTTGTTGGCTGTCTTCTCCCCCCTCATACTCATCTGGTTATTTCTCATTGCCTCTCTAGGCATGCTAACCCTCAATGTGTGTTTGCTATTATCAGATTATTATCCCACTGGGTGCCCATGTGCAGCATTGGGTGGGAACATCAGGTGTTGAGCTTTCTTCCTCTAGCATGCAGAGATGATTGGAATCTTGTCCTTGGCTGATATAGAGCACACGTTTGTGGCACGCTATTAATACAGATGACTGCTATCCTCGACGCCCAACAGTTTCTTTTACAGCTGAATGAAAGGTAAGATAATAATGTGCGATGATTGAGAGCTGCAGAGGACAGTTTGTTGATTTAGGCTCCCAAAACAGGACAACACTATGGAATTAGTTTGTTTGGGCAGGATACACCATGTCTCTCATTTTCCAATTTCCTTGAGTGCGCTTTTGCTGTGTTTACTTATATAACGATGTAGAAAAGATGACGGGGGAGAATAACGGTTAGCTGAGGTAATAACCCTTACTCAAAGTGTCATGTGAGCATGCTGACAGTAGCTCTGATTTAATGCAATTTCTCACTTTCCTTTGGTGTCCACACAGGATTAGTCATGCCTCCTCATCTGATCCAATGTCTCCTCTTGGTCAGGATACTCAGTGGCCTGTTAAAGAACGCCTTAAAGGGGTAGTTCTCAAAAAAATTTTTGCAGAGTAAGTGAAACCACAGACGGATGTGATCTAAAAAGTTGATTTTTTTCACAACATTGTCATTAATACAACTATTCATAAGCTTTAAGCTAGCAATTTTGGTCCCAGTACAAAGAAGAAGCTCCCTGCTGTATCTTGCTACCTACCGCTGTTCCTTCTTGCCATTTGAACACTAGTGTGTAATGACACTTGCGACAGAAACAGAATTCTCTGTTGAATCTGGTTTATTTATTATTTATTTATTGTTTATTTATGAAGACCCCGTTCCTGCGGCCGGCCGGCTTTTCTTCCTCTTTTTTTCCTTTCTTTTTTGAGCTGTACAGACTAATGATTTACACTAAATTATCTGTGCAGTGATGACTGACTGACTCATCATGAAGAGACAAAAGCCCTCTGGCGCCCAAGGGAGGAAGAAAAGGAAAGAAGAGGAAGAAAAATGCGAAAAAGACAGGGGTGATGAAAGATGATGTGATGATTGTGATCATGAATTTAGTTTAAATTTTTAAATTTTTAAATTTTAAAGGGTTATAACTGTTTTGATAAGTAAGTGATCAGAGATATGGAGATCATGGCAGGAGGGGGGGGGGGGGTTTCCAGGCCGGTTGAACAGATAAGGGCCAGGATGTGGCCATGGTCATGGGTGGGGAAGTGGCAGTGTTGGGTGAAGCTGAAGTGTTGTAGGATGTCCAGAAATTCACAGGCTAGACTGCAGCTGGGGTTGTCAATGTGGATGTTGAAGTCACCGAGGAGGAGAATGGATGGGGAGAGGGCACAGAGCTGTGTGAGGAGGTCAGAAAGGTCAGTCAGAAAATCTGGGTTTGGTTTAGGTGGGCGGTAGATAATAGCAATGATGAGAGGGGGGGGGGGGGCAGGGAGTTTGAGAGCAACATGTTCAAAGGAGGAGACGGTTGGCATGGAAAGTGAAATGATTTTGAGATCCTTTTTGTGAATTGTTGCAATGCCGCCGCCTCTGCCTTCTGGGCGGGGTTTATCAATATAGGTGTAGCCTGTGGGGGTGGCCTGATTGAGGGAAAAGTAGTCCAGGGGTTTGTGCCATGTTTCTGTTAAAAAGAGAAAGTCCAGTTTATTGTCCATGATGAAGTCTTGCAGGATGAGGCCTTTGCTGGTGAGTGATCGGTTGTTAAACAGGGCCAGGTTCAGGTGATGTGGGTGGGGCGGTTTCACTGATGATTCCTGTGAGGACCGGGGTAGTGTGCGAAGGTTGGCATGATGGCTACTCCTTAGAGCAGGGTGGCGGAGGGGCCTGTGGCTGATGATGGTGGGGATTTTAAAACTTGTTGTTTCCCGTTGCAGTGGCTTGAGTGGTGGGTAGGGGGAGCCAGAGGGACGGGTAGGTCGGTGTGCAGGGAGCAGTTCCAGGGGGGGACGCTGGGGGTCGCTGTGATTGGTAACGGTGTCAGAGGAGGAGCATGAAGAAGAGGTGGATGTAAACACTAGTCAGTCGATCTGCGCGCTTGTGTGGACACTGTACTGGATGTTGGAAACTAAGATGGATCTTCCAGACCTGTTCAGGTGGATGCCATCACTGTTAGAATAATCAGGCCGGTTCCAGAAACTGTTAAAATTGTCAATAAAATGAACCTTTTGGGCGTTGCAAAGCATGTTGGTCCAGCTGTTTAGGCTAAGGATTCTGCTAAAACGCTCGCAGTTCTGCATCATCGTCGGGAGCGGCCCACTAATAAAAACCGACTTGCCACAGTCTTTAAGGGAGTTAAGAAGCCTTTTAAAATCACATTTTGTCTGTTCAGACTGCCGACGTGCTGTGTCGTCACAGCTGATGTGCACAATGATGCAGCGAATGGAGGAGGGAAGTGAGCCGAGGAGAGAGGGGATCTTATTAGCGATATCGGCAGCTGTGGCACCGGGGAAGGATAGTGTGGTGACATTGAAGAAACGAATACCTCTGGTGATGGAGTCTCCGATGATGACTGTCGTGGGGGCGAAGAGAGGGGCGATCGGCGGTTCAGTGCCGCTTCTTGGGGATGTGGAGGTGGCACAACATAGATGCGGCGTCGAGGCGACCTCCAGCTCGCGCTGCGGGATGCTGTCATTTTGGGACGCAGCTCTGGGGACAGATCTGGCGGAGCGGCGACGGACCGCTTCCCGCAACAATTTGCGCCGGGACGCTGCGGATGATGTCCAGGTTATGTTTTGCTGGACCTCGGGCTCACTGGTGAGGCTCCGAGTGCTGCCAGGCGCCACCGTGGGGGTCTCCCCCTTGCTGGGCTGCGCCCGGGGGCCACCGTACGACAGCGCAGAGGTTTTCTTCACACGGGCGTCCAGCGGCATCCGGGAGTTGGCCAGCCCCGGTCCCGAGGCCAGCCGGTCAATGGCATTGGATCAGGCCAAGGCTTCGGCCACCGGGCTGCCCATGGTTCCGGGAGATCCTTCAGTAGCCTGGGAAGGCGCTGCGGTGGTCCCGACGGCTGGCAGGTTGGAGGAGGAGGTCGCCTTGCCGCCGGTCAGCGTCTGGACCGGGCTGTCAGCTGCGTTGATGGCGGCCTGGACCGTGTTTGCGGGCCGGGGTATGGACAGCTGGAGAAGGGTCGTGGAGCTGCTGGGAAAGGCCGGGCGGGGCAGGGGAAACACCACGGGCATTTTTCTTTTCGTTATTGCCACGGATTACTACCTCGGACCACGTTGGACGTGCAGGAGTTGAGGTGGATGAAGGCCGGGGGCTGTCGGGGTCCCAGGGTAATGTATCGTGGAGGGAAGCCTGGAGAGAGGCAAGGTGGCGGGTCTGCTTGAAGGCGACACCCATACAGGCGGTGAGTAGATCTGATTTGGCTTTCAGTTCAGCAGACAATCTGCAAATGTCCTCTTTGAGACGAGTGATTGTGGCGTTTGCCTTGTCCAGTTCAGATGTATGGAGGGGGGACGTGGAGGTGGAAGAAGCCATGATGGCGGTAGAGTTTAAACAACTCCAAACAATTTCAAATTACTCCAAACATAAGCTCCTCAGTGAGAACTGTTCTGAACCCTCAGAGTCCGGATCCTGACTCAGCTTTCCTCGGGTTGTTCTTACCCTTCAGTTTTCAGTACCAACGCTGATTTTTCATCGTCGTTAACCGGCGTCCACGCCACAGCTCTTTCCGGGATCTTTGAGTACACACTCCAAGTTAATCTCCGGCCTTCAACTGTCACCTTTCCAGTCACTTTTGTGCACATGCAACTTTCGACCTGCAAGAGTCCCTGAGTCCCTATAAGGCTATAAACATGTTAATGACAATCGATTTCAGCCGCTGCATTTATCAAGACCTGATCATGCATATGCTGGGACTGGTCAGATATGAACCCTTTCATAAATCTCACGTGTGTCCTATCATAGGATGAATCCTGCGCTCAGATCTGCACTCAGATCTGCGCAAGATTGATAAATAAGGGCCAGTGTGTTCTCCCCTGATTTTTTTCACTGAGACCAACTGACTCTAACACATTTTTCTTTAAAGGCATAGTTTGCTTTTTTAAGTGGAGTCACTGTGATATATGGCTTTAAGCCACAGCGCGGAGTCACGACAGCGTGACATCACTGCCGGAAACTTACACAGTGCACTGTAATGGCTGCCGATGTGCAATAAAGTACAGTGAGCACACAGCTGTTGTCCGTGTGTCATTGGACATTGGCGACGAGGATGGAGCTACCGTTTGCACCCCTGCCTCCCTTTCTTCCTCTACCCAGCAAACCACCGGTACTGTGGCCCCGCTGTTTTGAGTCATTCAAGAAGTTAATTGAGGCCATCGGGCTAGCCGGCGCTAACGATGCTCGGCTAAGGGCTATGTCCACAGCCTAGGCAGCGAGGGACAACGGATTTTCCGAACTCTTGGACCCGCATCCAAGTTTCATGACTGTGTGGCCTTGCTGTCCGGACATTTTGCTGCTCCGCACAGCGTCACAGTACGACGCATCGTCTTTCACCAACACATACAGCGACCGGGCAAGTCCAGGCGAGTCCGTCCACCATTATGTCCCCTCGCCCCGCTGCGCTGGCACAGACAGTAGCCCCGACTGCCCCATTCTCCGAGCCCTCCTGTCCTCTGACGAGCTTGAGGTGAACGTCGCGGGACGCCGGGACACCACGGCCCGGCAGCAATGTGGGAACTGCGGATGGCCATCTCACCTCACACAAGCACCCGGCTGCCCAGCCACGGGACACCGGTGCCAATGCTGCAGTAAGCTGAACCACTTCTCCAGAGTGTGCCGCTCGGCACCGGCCCCTGCATACCCCCGGCCTTGCTCATCCACATCATCCAGCCCAACAACCATCCACTCAGTGGGCTCCAGCACCAGGCCATCCCAGTGGTGCATGGTGGAGCTGGACGGTGTCAGCCTATCACTGCTGCTGGACACTGCGGCTTCCAGATCCATCCTAAACGAGTCCAAGGTGCACCGATTCTTCCCTCGGATGCCGGTCAAGGTTGGTGTGGAATTGGCATGGTGGGCACTGCCACCTTCGCTGTGCGTTACGGCTCCAGGACTCTTTCAGCATTCACCTTCCAGGTGTCTCGCCAGGGTACCAACCTCCTCAGTTTTGACCTGTTCTGCGCCCTGGGCTTCTCCATCACGGATAACCTGGGCGCCACCATACTGATGGTGGCCACACCCTGGCTGCACCACTGGCCATCCCTGTTTGCGGGGCTGGGTTGCCTCACCGCCTTCAACCACCAGCCGCTCGTTGATCCAACTGTGACCCCAGTCATCCAACTTCGGCGGCGGCTGCCCCTCGCCCTGCGCGACGACGTCACAGCTAAGCACACAAGCTCCTGGACGCAGGCATCATTGAGCAGGTGGACACTTCTCCTTGGATATCCAACCTGGTCGTGGCGAAGAAGAAAACTGGTGGCCTGCAGCCCTGCATCGACCTCAGGCAGGTAAACAAGGCAGTGATCCCTGACAAGTACCCGCTACCCACGACGGAGGAGATTCCGTCCAAGTTTCATGGCTCAACACTTTTCTCAAAGCTCGACCTCTGACAGGGCTACCCGCAGGTTCCTCTCCAGCCCGAGAGCTGCAACCTCACTGCCTTCGTGACCCACATAGGGGTCTTCAGGTACACCCGCATGCCTTTCGGCATCAGCTTTACACCCAGCTGTTTCTAGAAGATCATGACCACTATCTTCGCTGGCATCCCAGGTGTGGTCGTGTGCCTGGATGATATCGTGGTGCATGGAGCGACGTCCAACCTACACGATGACCGCCTCGCCAGGGTACTCAACGTGCTCACTCGCCACAACCTCACGCTGAATGGGAAAAAGTGCATCTTTGCTGCACTGGTCATCGAGATCTTGGGTTCCCGCCTGGCCGCTGACGGCCTGAGCCCACTCCACTCCAACGTTAACACTGTCCTGCACCTGCCTGAGCCCTCCTGCCCCGCTCAGCTGTCGTCGTTCCTGGGGATGACGGCGTTCTACCTCTGTTTCCTGCCCCATTTTTCGGAGACCACTGCCCCACTGTGCGCGCTCCTCAAACAGGACGCACCCTGGTCCTGGACGCCTGAGTGTTCTGCCACAGTCCGCCAGCTGGAGACACAAATTACCTTCCCTCCTGTGCTCACCCATTTCAACCTGCAGAGCCCCACGTTTGTGACCTGCGACGCCTCCAACACCGCCATCGGCGCTGTCTTGTCACAGCTCCAGGGTGGAACTGAACGCCCTGTGGCGTTTGCTTCGAGGTCACTCACCCCGACTGAGCAATAGTACTCCGTGGGGGAGAGGGAGGCCCTGACTTGCATCTGGGCATGCGAGCGGTGGGATATGTACCTGTACGGATGACACTTCACACTCTGAACGGATCATCAGGCTCTCACAGCTCTCCTGGCCACAACTGGATTAGGGCACAAGCCGCTCCGCCTGTACCGGTGGTCATAGAGATTACAGGCCTATAACTTCACTACAGTGTTCACACCAGGCAGCGACAACGTCATGGCCGACATGCTCTCCAGAGCCACACCCACCCCTGCACCCAACACCATCAACGACCACTCAGAGTCGAAGCTGGTCCTCATGCTGCACGAACCCCTCCGGGCTGCTGTATCCCTGCAGGATCTCCAGGCAGCATCTGCACAGGACTCAATCCTCTCTCAGCTCCGTACCTTCATCCAGGAGGGATGGCCTGCCAAGGTGCCGGAGGAGCTGGCGCCCTACCACCGTGTCAGAGATGACCTTTCCTGCTGGAATGATGACTGTGTGGTGAGGGGGCTGTGTGCAGTGATTCCCAGTGCCCTGCGAGGGCACATCCTGACCATGGTCCACGAGGGTTACCTGGGCATTGTCAGAGTCAAACAGTGCTGCAGGGGCTTGGTCTGGTGGCCAGGCATCGACAGGGACATCGAGACGATGGTGAAGGACTGTACAGCCTGTCTCACCAGCGGCAAGATGGGTCTGACCCCACCACCTCCTTTGCAGCCCCTTCTGTGGCCAGCTGCTCCATGGTCCCACATCCAGGTGGACATCTATGGGGAACTTCATGGCATCCCCCAGCACCAACAATTCCTTTTGGTGGCCTACGACCTTCACTCCAAATGGCCTGAAGTGCTTCCTTTTGGGTCTGTAACCACCCAGGTGGTCACTGACTTTCTCTCCTCTCTCTTGGCCTGCTGGGGTGTGCCTGACACTGTCACTACTGACAATGGCCCCCAGTTCGTCTCGGCAGATTTTGCCTCCTTCGTGGAGAGGAGGGGGATCAAACACGTCAGGACTACCCTGTACCACCCACAAGCCAACGGTGGTGTGGAGAGGTTTAACCAGACCCTCAAGAATGGACTGAGAGCACTCCTGGCTGATAATCTCCCATTCCCAGCAGCACTGCGGAACACCCTGCTGCACTACAGAGCGACGCCTCACGCTACGACCGGCTGCTCTCCAGCTCTCCTCATGCTGGGACGTGAACTCCAACTTCCTTTTGATTGTCTTCGGCCTCCTCAGCAATACACTCCAGCGGTAACAACACCACCCAGCGACAGAGTGGCAGAGCAGCAGCATCACATGAAGCAGTGCTTCGACAGGGTGCGTCAGGTGAGACATCCCACACCCACAGTGTCAGACTGGGTCCGGATCCGCAGACCCAGTCGATCCCACAAGCTGCTTTCGTTCTGGTCAGCACCACAGCAGATCACGGAGTAGCTTGGACCAGCCACTTTCCGTCTGGCTGATGGCTCACGGTGGCACACCAGTTGCCTGAGAAGAGTCTCTTCACCGTCGGACTCCAACCGGAAGGCTACGGCTGATCCAGGTCACATGGATGTAGACTGGGACTTCCCCCCTGCACAACCAGGGGCCCCAGCAGCAGATCC